CTCTCTCTCTCTCTCTCTCTCTCTCTCTCTCTCTCTCTCTCTCTCTCTCTCTCTCGCTCTCTATCTCTCACTCTCTAGCTCTTTCTCTCTCTGCATTGCTGAAGCTGTAGCGATACCGCTATACACCTACCGCTATGGCTATGATTACATGAGATATGAAATGACGCAGGTTAGCGTTATGCGTCTAGTTGATTGCTATCGTCGATTCGTCATAGTCTGCAGAGAGAAACCAAAAACATGCAAAGCATACCATTACCGTTTGTTCTTGGGTTCGCGCGTTCGTGCATGCGTGCGTGCGTGATTCTTTGTTCATTTGTGCCGTCGTTTCTTCGTTCAGTCATTATATCGTTTTGCCCGTTGGCTGTATCCGTTCATTCGCTGGTTTTTCGTTCGTTAATTCATGTATTCAATGATTAAATAATCGCCATTGAAGTGAATATCGATTATATTTCGTACTCACAAACACATCATATCATTCGTACGGTATCAGAAATTGCCTTTTGTTGCCTGTGCGATTCTATGGGAATCGAAAAATATCGGAAAATATTCGAAGTGGGTCCCGAATAGTCAATTTATTATACGTACGCAACGTGGGAGAAAAAGTTTACATGTGGCATAAGTGTCAGTGGGATACTGTACTGACTTAGCGAAAGCTCTACCCAGCTTATGGTTATTTATTCATAGAAGATTTTATCTATAGAAGGTGTTTTGTCGGCTTAGCATCGACTACGACTATGACGGGTACTGATCCTTACTAGACACGCACATGTCGTTGGGAAGACGGCTAATTCTAGGGGCCCTGAATATCACACCTCTCAGTAGGATGTGCAGACGTGCAGCGCTGCACTGAAATTCGTAGTTTTTACGCGTGCTCATAGGTGGCAGCAGCTTCTACGTGCGCTTCAGGCTGGGTGTAGGTCGCTGTCCGTTGCAACGCACCGTGGGTATTTTATGAAGTCGCAACAATTACAGTTTATTACATTACAGAACGATCCGTTCTGACGAAGATTGGTCGGCTGTGGAATGCTCGTTTAATGGCGTATTGATGTGCTAGCGGGAATTCTCGTCCGTTTCTCATCAGTCATTTTTTTGTCGCTGTCGCTTTCGTTCCTCGAAGTAAACCATACGTATTAGTGGCAGCATCTGAGTCATCGGTGAAGGGGGGGAGGGGTAGAGCCGAAATTCCAACGCGAGGGGGTGAAGAGTGTGAGAAGGAGCGACGAGTAGAGAGGGGGCATATTTCAGCGAGGGGTCTTTTTATTTGCGTTAGTTTATCGAAAGGGGAGGGGGACGAAATCGCTTCTCTTTCTGCTGACTACGAGAATTGCTGAGCTCTCAGAGATTAACGATGGTGTCTTTTGTGCGTGCGATATCTCAAGACGGACGACCTACGCAAAAAAGTAGACGTGTGTCGTAAAGCTTTTAACGCTGAAGTGGCACTGGCCAATCATTTATTTGAACCGGAGACTGTCCGCGTAACAGATTTGCTGACAGACGACGTCTTTGGCCACGCGGGCACACGTGGCTGCAAACTGAAACCAGATGCGAGCGCAACTATAGTATGTATCGTATCAGGAGTTAATGAAGACAAATTATTATTATTTTTTAAATTTTTTTGTTTTTGTTTTTATTAACTCCTGATGGTATGTATGTACGTATCGCCGTATGCGTGTGTAGCATGAACGGGTTACGCACGTATAATACCACCCCGAGAGTCACGGAGAGTGGTGTAAATACAATACCACCTCGAGAGTGCTGTAAATACACGTAGTGTAAGCGTCTGGTGTGAGCAGTATCGTTTCTCGTGTGTCCCTGTGTTCTAGACTTCAGAGTTCCGGTTCAAACTGGCGAGCAATCGTAATCCGTATTATTGCAATAATGTCAAGAGCTAATAATACATATTATATACGTATATAACATATATACGTAACATATATACTAACTCATATATATATATGTATTATTACTATTTATTAGCTTTTGGTAATATGCAGGGTAGAGACTGTTAAACAAACAGGAGCCGCGCTTATGGAGTTATTTATTTACTGGCAATGTTATGAACACGTTTATTGCTTCATTAATAGTCATTAGTTAATTGTCGAGTACGTGCGGGCGCATGCACTGCCGCTGTGCTATTGTAAATCAACCAATACAGAGCAAGTATGTATTGATTGTATTCATATTAGTATTTATAGTGATGATAGAATTCTTGATACATTTTAGGGAATTTTTTATGTGGATTCTAGCAAATCAGAGTTTGTATCATTGGCATTTGTTAGTTGCATTTGTGTAAACACAGACGGAAACTTCGCCAAATATCGCAGTAAAATATTATCATTGTGTACTCATTGCTCATAATCAATAAAATATTATCATTGTGTACTCATTGCTCATAATCAATAAGATTTTAATAACTTCCGAATTTTTATACGCGGACACGATTGCCATAACGAAATCAATGATGGTAGGGCTAGCTATTCTTCTCCAGTTTAGTCCTCAAAGTATTACATGGAATTATGTCGCGCAATGATTTTCTAGCAAATTATCTACATTTTAAATGTCACATTATCCACATTTCACGGAGCAGGTCTATTTAATTGGAATAATTTCTCATTGTGAATAATTCCTCATTGTTAGCAGTGTTAAGCGATGAATTTAGTCGAGTTGCTCCAAAGGCGGATAAGATAATCATGATACACGCGCATAATGTCGATCTGTTATATTAGGTGCACTGAGGAAATGCGCATTCACAATGGCTTTACATTTCGACGCCACGTAGCGTGGAATGAGCATGTATATATATATATATACATATCATCAATAAGGGATTCATTTGCTAAGTGGGTGACGCCGCCGAAGGTTTCCATATGAAAATGTTATTGATGTCCGGGCGTGCGTGCGTGCGTGCGTGCGTGCGTGCGTGCGTGCGTGGGTAGGCGCGCAGTGTTGGCGATGTTTATTAATGCATCTGAGGGCGTGGGCGCGGCTATACAATTATGTCGTTACTTGCGAGCATGTAGTGTGAGCTTAACTGTCGCAGGTATTTCACATCTATAAATAGGAAATCGGTCAACCTGATCTGGTCTGATCTGGTCGTGTACCATTGTGTATAGGCAGTATAGCAAACGAATGAACGCAGCTGTCGCCTCTGCCTCCGCAAGGGAGACAGGTATACTCAAACACAAAAATAGAAATCATGCAACGAATGAGTCGAAACGCACGCATATATAGATTATTGTTATATGGCTGGGAAAAAATTTCGCATTGTAATTTGTGCTAGGCGTGTTATGTGCCGTGAATTTAAAACCAATATTGCCCGCTGAACGGTGCTGCCACTTAGCATAATCACTGTGTTGTCTCGCCATTGATGGCAACCACGCATTGATGACAATGTATAAATAAATAAATAAATAATTGATATACATATATATATATAAATGATATGATATGTTAATAGTTAGGAAGCTACTATCCTAAATAACTGTAATGCTCATGATAAACTTGATGCATTAATTGTCTAGATATGAAGTGCACAGATTCGTCTCGGCTAATATGGTATCTGTTATTCTAACATACATGGCGTGTGCATTCATTGCTGCAAGCTCAGACATCAAGTTATACGTGTTCTTTTCGACGAAAGGAGTGGGTGCACTAACCTTAAAGTAATTATTGCGAGATTTTTCCAGTGTTTTCCCCACTTTCATGATACCTACCCGTTATTGCTTGAGTAACAACAATTGTCTAGAGTAACGATAAAATGCCTTAGAACCTTCGTATTCACCAAATCATGCACAATTACAATTTTGCTTCTTTGTTCGTGTCCATGATTGTGTGTGTTATTGAACGCGTATTCACGCGCGTGGATGCGTGTCCGTGGGTGCACATTTATTTACCTATCATCCGCTATGGACATACAAATGTTGTCAATATTTATTAAGTATACTTTGCTATGTACATGATGAGCTTAGCGTAAAGAACACATTGTTCTACATATTGACAACGCAAATGATGAACCGATTCTGTGTTATACAATAGTGTACCGCACAGATAAACACGTTGATATCTGCGCGCGTGCGTGCTTGTGTGCGTGCGTTTGAGGGTAACCAGTTGTAACTAGCTAGCAGACTGAGGCTTGAGCTGTTTAAAGCAACACAAACATTTATTATACAAGATCTTACTAGCAGCGTTCGAAATAATGGGGAAAAAATTGCTTGTCCGACGGACAAGCTAAAAGATATTTGTGCTTGTCCTGCAACATTTTTGCTTGTCCTGATTAATAACATAGAAATATAGTAAATGTGTAATACATTTAATCAAATTAAATTTTAGACCCAATATATTACTTTGTAATTTTAATACAGTTCACTAACAGTTCAAATTAGGCACCAAACTTGAAAGAACATAAATAAGCACAATTATTTATTTTAAGTTATTACTTGTCTTAACAAAGTTGAAGCGATGGTAGAAAATGATGAAAAATTGCTCTAAAAGGTTGCTCTAACAAGCTGCTTGTCCAGCGGACAAGCTTAGCTGGACAGGTCTACTTGTCCTTCGTGGAAATGGACAAGTGAGGACAAACAGTTAGCCCTTATTTCGAACACTGGCTAGTATCCGTCTGCAGTGTCTTTTCCTGTCGTTCTTCGTTGCTTGCATCTCTGTAACCCGCTCAGATCTCACACATTTTATTGTTTGTTTCAGGATGGTTCGGGTCTTGAAAATGAAGATTCTTCCAATACAACCGAGGTTTATGATATTTTGCAGGTAACACATTACCTATGATATATCTTTTAATAGGCATACAGGCCCCTACATATCTTGTGTATGTGTGCATAGACGTGGCTTGTTATGATGAAATGTGGAACTATAAAAATTGTGCTGTGTCAATCACATGTAGTGTATAGTTATAAAAAAAAAGGTATTAAGCTCGTGTGGGTTTTCTAATGCAATGTCGGTAGTGTTTCATGTTTTGGCAGAGAGCATTGAACATAGATTTCAATTATTGCCTGAATGTATTTACTTAGAATGATTTGTTATAGTGCAATTAGTGGCACGCGTATTAGCCTGATTATACCACTAATATACGCTACAGGCAGTCATTTTTATAAATAATTACATCGTTATTTATAGCGTATTATAGGGTTGTGACTGACATCCGCGCGGATATTAATCACAGGCTAATGTGGTGCGTATCTACCCGATTGTGACTTGCCATCACATTATTTTTACGCAACAAAAATTATTTTATGCCCTCTGTTTATTAATCTCTCAGAATATGCGACGATAATGTGATCGGCCCGACGGAATAAATGGGCAGAAGAGCTCGTTAGCTACATTATTACCATTTTAATTTGATTAACGTAGCGAATAGCGCGTTCTGGCCTAACAACAGCTTGCCATTAGACTGTCTCTAGGGAGAAAGATATGCCTACTGCATTCCTCCTATAGGTGGCGTTGAGTTTCAGGGTAAAAATGTCAGTGCCATTGCTTTCTTCCCTGCTTCATTTCTTGCATTCTTTCTTTCCTACTTCCTACTTCGGTTTCTACCCTGATCTGTTCTTCCTTACATTCTTACCTACTTCATTATTAGTTTCCTCCCTATACTCCGTTTCCACATTCTCCCTTCTTTATACCTTGCTTTGTTCCCTGCTTCTTCTCTGACTCATGCCATGCTTTCTCCCCTGCTTCGTCTCTTTCTTTCTTGCCTGCTTTCTTCCCTGCTCTCTTCAATGATCCATTCTATGCTTTGTTCCCTGCTCCATCACCACATGCCCTTCTCTCTGCTCCATCTCTTGCTGTCTTCCTTGATTTCTTTCCTGATTCATTTCTTGCTTTGTTCCTTACTCCATCCCTTGCTATCTTTCCTACTATCCTCCCTGATTCATTTCTTGTTGCATCTGCTGCTATACACACGTTGAATCTTGCAGGAAATGAAGAGCATAGATCCTCTACTGAAGCCCATAGCAACGCCAAAGAAGGAAGAGCTTCCCCCTAAGATTGCATTCACTGCTGCACTGGTAAGTCAAGTCGGCTGGTTAAGCAGGAGTCCCGGGGGAGGGGGTAGTACCAGGGCGGGAGGGAGGAGAAGCTCTTGAGTTATGTACTAGTTCGGTCGCGGCGTAGGGGTGGTGGTTATTCAAGGCCGGAGTGATGTGGGCTGAATTAGGCCATAATGCGTTTGGCCATACCATTTAGTTGGCCAGGGTGAGAATTCTGTGCAAGAAGAATTCTGTGCAAGAAGAAATGGGTGGTCTGGAGTTAGGTTTGCGACGGTGTGTCCGGGGCTGGGTGTGGGCGGAGTTTAGGGTTGTCTCACTGCTGTATGCAAAGGTGGCCCTGAGTTAGTTACGTGTTTAAGCTTTTTTCAGTTATATTTTTACATTTGTATTTTTATAACAATTGTTTTATTATTATTAATTATTATATTATTATTATTATATTTTTTATATTATATAATAGTAATATATTTTTAGTTATTGTACGAGTTTCAATATGAACCGTGGATGCTGGAATGTCATCTAGTTATTGGGTAATGCGATATTGTAATAGTGATCTCCGCTAACGTGGGGCGTGGGCTTGCGGGCTGTATTCCAAATATTAATGACTTTAATTATCCATTAAAATATTACCGGCCATATACGGATGATGTATTTTCATCATTTTGAATAATAAATTTTATATGCGATGGTAGCTAGGATACACATTAGAGCCTCAGTTCACCTCCTTAATGGTCCATAAAAACGTCGTTTCACCTCTAAGGCCACGCAGGTTTTTACGGTAGAATGGTGGTTTTCATTTATGTTTTTATTGCCCCGTTTCTCGGCATGTCTTCAGTGCCGTATCGTTCATAAAACCTCCATTCATGTGTAGATGCGAAATTATTTATAACCGAGTTGAATATGCTGTTTGCATGTTAAAAAACTCAGTAATCGGCCATTTAAAATATTAAGTATTTTAATTATTATTTTAATTTAAACATATACTCTATCTAAACATAGCGTATATGATCAAGACTTTCTAATCACAGTAAATAATAATGTGATATAATATATGAGAAATATACTAGAAGTATATGTCTATCATTTGCATCTGGTAATGAATTACTTGGTGGCATTTATAGATGCCACAAGATAAACATTAAAAAATTGGAATCGTTTATTGGAATCGTGGAACTGATTTCGTAAGATAGTGGACTGCAGAAATATTCTAAATAGTGTTCCGCCACAACACTCCATTACAGAGAACGCTTTTCTGGGAATACTATCCCCAGTCGGAATTTACGATATTGCTTGGGGAGCATTAACGCAGCGTGCACGCATGTCGCAGTGTTAAACCGCTCTCCTGCCGCAGAATCAATACGGAGTTATATGACGGTGTAGCTAATCTTGCTTGTGCCGTGTACGTACGTAGATGTTTTGAGTACAGATCGGCTCTCACTCAGACGACTGGAGAAGTATCCCTACAAAATACACGCACGCACGTACGCACGCACGCACGCTCGCTTACCCCCGCCGTTATTAACGAGAATGGGAG